GTAATCCTAGCAGCTTGGAAGACTGAGGTGGGAGGATTCCTTGAGGCCAGGAGTTCAAGACCAACCTGGGCAATATAGTGAGACTCTGTCTCTTAAAAAAAAAGTGATTAGCCAGTTGAATTGCTTAAGGAAATTACATAAACAGCAGAAGCACAAGACAATCAGGTGATGTCATAATTCCTTTGCTTAAGGGAGAGTTTTTTTGTTTGTTTTTTTAAAATCTGATGAGTCAGTAGTAGAGTAGGAAAGGAGAAAAAGGAGATCATGGGGATAGGGAAGGAAGATGAGGGAATACGATGGTTTTCAGAACACAGAAATTTCGGTAGAGATTACAGTGGAACACCATGGATGCCAGCTTTTGTGATTTTTAAAAAGTCTTGGTTTAAAGCTTTTGCTTTATTCCGTATGGTGGGTCCTCACCCACAGCCACAATGAGCTCTTGAAATACTAGTCTGCCCATGTTCCTACTCTCCCCTCACTACCAGAGTAATCCAAGATCTTTAGCAGACTTGGCCCTCTTTCCATTCCCAGCCTCACACTTATTCAAATGCTTTTCTAGTTCCAGAGAAACAAGCGCTGTCAGTCTATGCATTTTTCTCCTATTGTTTTGTGGGCCTGGAATGCTAGTCTCACTTTTCTTTGCCTGGTTATTTTCCTTTTAAAAACTCTGATGTCATCTGTCAGAAAGCCTCCCCCGTCCTTCATCAGAGCCCTGGGCCCTGGCCCCCAGCCCTGTGCATAATTCTATTTCACTTTTTTTTATCCTCTCCTTTCTATTGGATATTCCACATAATTTTATGTTATTTTGATCTATCAGTCTCCTAGTCCCGATGATACTATTTTATCTTTGCAGCCTATACTCTAGCAGGTGTGGCACCCAAGAAAGGTTAATGTGGCTGGAAGGAACCCACGTTTGGTCACCATGACCCAACGACCTCAGCCACCTACGTGGGGCCCAGAATCCCTAAACTATACTTGAAAATCACAGTGCTTGCAAGCGCCTCCGGAACACAAATCCCTTTTGCAGGGTTGAAATGATAGTATCAAGTCACCATTACTCATCTCTTAGGTCAAGGCTCCAAATCTGGACAACCCAGATCCCCGAGAGGAGAAGGGGAAATCTGATTTCCAGGAAACAAATACTCCAGGTGCGCTCTTGTGGAAAGCAGCACAACGGGCCGCCCGGGCTCTGCTGGAGTCAGTCCCACCCGCCGCCTCCTCCCCCTGCTCCTACACGGTCTTGGCTTTCAGGTGTACACCACCCAGGCGGGTGCCACATCTGCGCCCCGTGGCCTGACGAATGTCACCGAACACTTCTGCCCGGACCCGGCAGCAGCAGCAGTAGCAGCGGCGGCCGCGCGACCGGATGGCGTGGGTGTCACCTCGCGCCGGCCACCCTCTCCGTCGCGATGTGCCGGCGGCGGGGCCTGGGAGGGGAAGCCCTCGGGGTGCAAGGCTCGGTACCCCGGAAACTCCGAGGGCAGGAGGGTCCGGGAGGAGTGAATCCATTCCTCCGGAGTTGCGCAAGAGCGGGTGGCCAGGACGGGCGGGAAGGACAGAGCGGACATCCCTGCCGACGACCCCGCGTAGCCGCCCGCGCCCACCCGCGCCGTGTCCGAACCAAAAGCGAAAGTAACTTGACCACCGCGTCCCCGCCGGCTCTGGCGTCGCGTCCGCTGGGAGGTCGCCGCGAGCCCCCGAGGCGGCCGCCCCGCCGCTTTGTGACTTCACTGGTTTCGCAACAAGCCCGGGCGGCCCGCGCCCCACCCACCCCCGGCCCGGCCGCCTCGCCGCCCGCCGCCTCGCTCCGCTCTTCGCGCTTCCCTCCCTCCGGGGCCCGGCCCGCCCGGCCGTCGCGGAGCCGCCCCGTCCCGCCGCCCGTGGCCGTCCGCGCCGTGGCCGCCGCCTGGCGGGCCGGCAAGTGCGCGTCCCCCGCCTCCAGGCAGCCCGGAGCAACCCCGGTTAGCGCAGCGCCCTCTCGGCGGCGGCGGCGGCGGCGCGATGCTGTGCTTCCTCCGGGGAATGGCCTTCGTCCCCTTCCTCCTGGTGACCTGGTCGTCCGCCGCCTTCATCATCTCCTACGTGGTCGCCGTGCTCTCCGGGCACGTCAACCCCTTCCTCCCCTACATCAGGTGAGAGGCAGGGTGGGCGCAGGGACCACAGGGGAGGGCCGCCGATGGAAAAGGGACGGCGTCCGGACCCAGTTGGGGGCGTCTGGCGACAAGATCGAGGTCTAACCCGGAGGAGAGTGCCTCCCACAGCCCGGGATGTATAGGTAGCCGAGGGGGACGGCGCAGAGCAGTGGCTGCCTTTACCCTGAACTCAGCAGAGCGGCACTAGGAAGGCTCAGGACAAATGGTAGAACTTCCAGTTTGGGTATGGGACAGAACCTCTCGGGAAGACGTTTGTTTGGCAATATTGAAACAAGAATGAGTCCTGAATAGATGACATTTGTTGTACAAGGTAGATCCAGGTTTGCTCTAAACAGCTATTTCACTTCTGCCTCCCAACATCCTTTGAAGTGGATGCCTAGGTTCATTTGTCATGCAAAAACAGATCAAATGTTAACAATTTGACACTGATGTCACGCTAGGAAATGGTAGAAGCAGAATTCACATCCAGATCTGTCCCATATGGAAAGCTACCCTGTGCTTTCCTGGTCCTTGGGAGTCTGGCTTAAGCTGCCCAAGACCCCTCTTAGGCACTGCACCCCTAAAGTCAGAGCCCTCAACTTGCTAACAACTTGTGACATATCTTGTGTTATTTTACCAAATCATTTTTTCTGTGTTATGGCTTCCACCTTTCCTGAGGGTCACTTCATCAGTGCCAGTGACAATGGCCTGATCCTTTTTATATGTCTCCCAGCTCTGTGCCTTGGCGGTACCTTGGTGCCTTGGTGGCAGTAGGCATTCCTTCAACATTAAATAATCCATCCTTATCTAAGTGGTGTGATCCCCTCTGGGTCTACATTGGTTGATGAGGGTTGATAAAATTGGTGACACTCAAAGTTTGTTATGCCTTTATGATATAGAGTACAGGGTCTCCCCTTCCCTGCGGCCATTCTGTGTGGTGAGCAATGTTTTGTGGTGTGCTTTGTTTTGTTTTGTTTTTATGGGAAGGAAGGAAAAACAAAAGCGAGGAAAGAGGGGACTAGAGTTTAAAAGATGGAAGGAAGAGAGTGATAAGTAGAATAGTGCACAGAAACAAATCCGCAGTAGTCTTGGTGGTTTTGCCCGTGCAAAAAGAGACAGATGTTCTATACATCGAGGAGACTTTCCCATCTGGTCTTGTGCCCATGGGGAAACCTGGGCTTGGTTTCTCATGGCTCATCTCAAGCCCAAGTGCCATCGCTCACTTCTCTTGTTTATGAAGCAGGATAGATCCTGTAGATGTGTGTGAAAGGAAAGAGCCTCTCTTCTTGCAGTGCTTTTTATTGAGAAAATAGTAGCTGTGTTTGGCTGGATCTGGAGGTCAGGGACACATAATATGTGATATGCATTGGCCAGGCTGAAAAAGGCAGGGTTTGAATCTTTGTAGAAGTGTCTTATGTAGCTGTGATTAACGTCACCCCAATGTGAACTTGAAATGGAAACCGTTCAGAAGTAGGGAAATAAGCTGACAAGGTGAACCACTTGTGAGATGCTCAAATTACAGACACTCCAAGGAAGGAGTTTAAAATTTAACAAGGAAAGGAAGCCTTCAGGAAAAGCAGAATTACAAGCAAAAAAAGCATGAAATTGTCCCTTTGTTGCCAGGAGTCCTCAGCCAACAGCCAACAAACAACACACAGGTGTGTGGATTGCCTGTATGTGCTGGGGTTTGGGGGTTTGCTCTCTCTGCTCACTGGAGCAGCTGGAGCATTGGATCACCCCTGCCTTTCTGAGAAAACTAAGCCACTGAAGCAAAGGCAAGACGTAGCTAGAACCAGACAGGGAGAAGTGATGGAAGTAACTCCATAGTCATCTGCTAGCCAGAAATGTTCCACCTTATTATCTCTAGCCTTAATATCCCCTCTTCGCCTCTTCCCTTACTCCTTCTGCTTCCCTTCAACCACACTGGCCTCCTTCCTGAGTCTTAAACACATCAGGCACACCTCCTCCTCAAGGCCTTTGCATTGGCTGTTCCCTCTGCCAGAACGTTCTTCCTCCAGATATCACCAGACTTTCTCCCTTACCTCCTTTGTTCAAATATTATTATCTCTGTGAGACTTGCCCTGATCACCTTTTTAAAATTGAGCCTGACCACTCCTGATCCCCCACATGTTGTCTTATTATCCACCGTAGCACCTATCACCTTCTAACAAATCATGTGATTTAACTTATTTATTATGTTTATGATCTGTCTTCCCTCACTGGAATATAAGATCCATAAAGACCTGATGTTTGTTGAATTAATATTTCTTGGGCACTCACTACCCCAGGGTGGGCCAGGGCAGAACCCTTTGGGGAAAGCTTGATAAGGCCATTCAGTTTGGTGGTTGGGTAGTGATTCGGAAATTCTCAGAATGAGTCCCCTTTTACATTCTAACATTATTCGACCAATCTGGTGGTCTGATATTTTCAGAACAGTTGAACACTTTAAATAAGAGCCACAACCATAAGGAGGTCTTCTCCCCAGTATGACATTCAAAGTCAGCTTCCTTATCAGGTATTTTTCTGCTTGTAACATTGTTACTCTTCAGTACATTGGCTAAATAGGCAAATGGCTCTTAGACATATGGAAAGATGCTCAGCTTCATGAATAGAAATAAAAATTTCAAATTAAAACTCCCTGATGCCAGTTTTCATCT